AACTTAAATAAAACTCTTTAATTTAACCCTTTTGCCTCCCTATCTCCTTTTTCTGACTGGGACACATTTTGTCAATTTTCCTGATCACCTGGACCCTTTTAATAGAACGTGTCATTGATGATCAATAAAGTCGGGTGAGCACAGTTTGTGTTGCATATTGTGCTTCAGCTTGTGCTGCTGTTGTACAAGGTTAATGCTGTGTGTGTGTGTGTGTTGCATGTAATTTGTATCTCCATGCTGTAGCCCGTACCTCATCAAGTACAGGAGACATGTTGTTAGGAGTTTTATGCTTTATGAGTTTGTAAATACTAATTTACAGTCTAAGTAATAAATTGTTTTAAAAGAATGTTTTCTATTTTGTTTTGGGATTGGTCAGAAAAACGTAGTGGGATATAAAATGTTGGAATAAAAAACAAAATAAAATTTAAATTATCATTCGAATTTGTTATTTTTCAACTGCGTTATGGACAACAAATTTGAAAATATGATTTTGGAGGTTTTTTTGTTCACTAATATCATCAAGGATTAATATTTTTATGAGTCCACATTATACTATTGAGTTCAAGTTACTCAACATCCTTATGTGCCCCATCATTTTTATTGCAGTTTAACCAACATGTAAAAGATTTATGACACAGAAATCACATGTAACACCATGAACAATGTTACAGAGTTTACCGGGCACATTAGCAGGAAAAAAGAAAATATTATTTAAGATAAAGACATTTTATTTTCTCTTTTTGTTTGCATAAATATCAATACCTTTTGTCTTGGCACTGCTTCTCAGACTATAACCTCATGTAACACTGATGAAGTGCTAATGAATTCATAGAAACCAGGTATTAAGCTAGATATTGTGCGATTATCAGTTGCCTCGATCGTTAGACTTAAGAAGGGCTACTGGAGCTGATGTTCAATAATCAATAAATAAACACAACACAAAACGATTGTGCAGGTACCATGTCTGCACAAAAGCAAGGAAAAATAACAAGAAAGGAAAAGTAAAATAACTTAAGTTTCTCCTACTGGAGCAGTTCAATCAAGCTTCATCATATTTTCTAGTCTTTGGCTTGGAATGAAGTTGGTTTGGAAACATATTTGGCGATGTTTCATCTCCTGCTTTGTGTTTATCTAGGTGCCCCACACTTTGGGAACCTCTGACCTAAACATGGCTGCTCGAAGGCCAGCTAGGATCCCTGTGGACCTTGCCCTACAAATGATCCAGGACCTGTGTTGCCAACTTAGCGACTTTGTCGCTATATTTAGTGAGTTTTCAGACCCCCATAGCGACTTATTTTTCTAAAAAGCGACTAGCAACAAATCTGGCGACTTTTTCTGGTGTTATTGGAGACTTATTTATGACAACTTTTTGACGTGAAAGTGTGTATCACTCTTAATCTCAACAAGCAGCAGGTGCTGCCGTGGGCACCTCACCCGTGCCAAAGCGCTCACAGGTGGAGGATAGTCCTCCCCCAGCTGCTATCAGGGCAGAAGACGTTCACACCTCCAAATGAATCGTGCATGAGTGAAGCCGCTGCTCCCGTAATGACTGTAACGCAGTCACTTCTTCTTTTACTGTTATGATGTTTTGTGGATCACAAGATTTAAAACTACTTATAAATGCAAACACACACACAAAGTAACTTCACCAGAGAGCCTATTTCGGGTCACTTTTTTCTTGCTCCAAGCCCGGATAAAGGAGGAGGGTTGGAATTGAGACATTAAAAAAAATAATTGATAAAAGACATTTAATTTGTAGTTCTGAACACAAACATGTTTTGACGCCTGACTGATTGATTGCTAAGTGCTAAAATGTGAATGAAAATAAAAAAATGTACATGTCAAAAATGAAATTACTCTTTTGTTTGAACAAGATATATCATCTTAACCAAAATGAGAGAAATGTCTTTAGTTTATTGCAAAAAAGCATTGATTTTTTGTGAAGACTTAGGTAGTGATACAAAAACTGCAATTTCTTAAAATTAATGAAAAAATACATAAAAATGCAAATGGCCTCATGTCACATATGTGTTTTATGGGGAACACCTGGAATATGAATATATTACAACTCTTTGTTTTAAAGATTTTGAAGAATAACACCCAGTTTATTGCAAAAACAGATTTTATTTGGGGTCATTTTTGACCCCACAAAAAGAAAGAGCGTAGGTATTGGTAGGTTGTGCATCCAAGGGTTAAAGCTTACATGTAAGTGCTCATGTTTTTAAATCACACATTGCATACATGAGACTTGGGCTTTTTCATATTGTGAAACCTGCTGCTAAACGAACTGAGGTAAACTGTGTTAAAGGTTACATGAACATCCTCTGCAGGTTAGTGCAGGATAAACAGGTTAGTTTGCTGCACTGTGATGGATTCAAAGTAAAGAACTGTGTGTGACTGCTGCACAGTGTCGGTGGTTTCATGGTCACAGGTAGGTTACATGAAGTGTAGCAGAGATTCACATGAATTTAACTATGCTACTACTACTATTACTATGTAAGTAATAGATATATGTAAATATTAATATACACATGTACATGTCTATACTACATGTACACTAAATATACATACGTATACATATACCTGCACACATCCATACAAATAAAAGGTGCATTTTGCATGAAGCGTGTCCATGAATGTCCAGAATGTCCTGTGACTCATGATATTGTGATTGAGGAGTTATAGAATCAAAATGCTGTTGGAATGAATTCTCTGCGAAAGCGAGGGTGTTTCATCCAAACATTCATTCAAGGATCACCCAAAAGCTTAAAATTAGACTCACAAATGTGTACAATGATTTGTGTGTAACTTTTCAGGAAATGCGTGCTTCAATCCACACACAAATAATCAATATAAACACATGTAAGACTATATTACAAATGCGTAAATCCACACCTGAGTAAATACTGATCAATAACGCACAATTTATTAAGTTTAGCTTCATGAATATGATAACTTTCTCTTTTAGCACCGTTTGTTCCTCATCTATTTCTGCCTTTCTTTGTGTGACTGTTACTTTTATCTGAAAACACAGTCGTGTGTATTTCTACATCGCTATCTTTCTTTTAAAAAAAATAGTGTTTTTTCATGTATAACTTAGTAGCTCAGCTGTCGACTTGTTTGCAGCCTTGGTGGTTCGGGGTTATTATTAAGATCTTCTGACCACAGCTGTACAGTGTTTTTCTTTGCTTATGTTCTACATAAAAGATGATCAGAGTGATTACATTCATTGAAATAAAATTTGTATTATTATCTATTGATATTATATTAATATTGCATTTGTAACAGAAGTATCTCCACTTCTATTTCTCTCAATAATCAGAAGACAGTCCGAGGTAATGATTCTGTCTAACTTATCACTAACACCGTTTTTACTCTGTCATTTAAAAGTATGGGTGAATGCTCTGACGGGTCGAGAACCAATTAATTGTTTCACAAAAAGCCAGGGCACCTGAGTTTACTTGAAATCAAATCAAATCAAATGAAATAAAACAGAAGACCACGACATGAAGATAAAAGAAATGAAACCAAAGAGTAACATAGGTATGTTAGATTAGTCAGAACAGGTGTGACTGGTTTTGTCAGTGTGGGCGTGTACCTGTATGATGTTCTAGCAGGTGTGTAAATATCTGCAGACACAGAGGCATTAGCACAATAACCACCACTCACCTTCACAACACTTTAAGGAATCATGGAGGTTTCAACCTTAAAGAAAATGATAGATGATTTGTGTCTCTATGAAGAGGTTAACATAGAAAAAACAGGTCTCATCATTGATGGTGCAGCTCTGTACTATTCTTTGTATTATACGTCTGATCCAAAGCTGGACCAGCGCTGTGGAGGAGATTATCCTGGATTCAAAGATGAGGTCTGTAACTTCTTTAAGACTCTGCAGGACTGTGAAGTCACTCCGTACGTCATCTTGGATGGAGGCTCAGGGCCTGAGAAGCGTGAACATCTTGTGTCTCGTCTAAAACATAAACTGGAAAAAGCAAAGACAGTAGCAGAGACTGAGCCTGACGCTGCACCACAAGGATGTAACGTCTTACCACCTCTGATAAAAGATGTCTTCATAGAAATCTTGAAGGAGAAAGACATCATGTTTGAACAGTGTTTAGGAGAGGCAGACCCTGTAATTGTTTCTGCTGCAAATCAGAAACAATGTGCTGTGCTGTCCATTGATAAGGATTTTTACATCTTTGATTTGTGCAAAGGTTTCCTTCATCTTGACAACTTTGAGTGGAAAAGCAAAGGGGATGAAAAAATTCCTGCTAAGCTCTACACACGTTCAAAGTTTTGTGAGCATTTCAAATTAGACCCTGCTCTCATGCCAGTCTTTGCTTCAATAGCAGGAAATGATTATTCAATATTAAAAGACAATGGTACCTTTGCAAATGAATCATCTTCACCTGGTGAGTACAGGATTAAAAGACTGGATGGTATGCTCAGCTTTTTAACTAAAGCGAATCTGGATGGTTTGAATGACTCGCAGAAGAGAGAACGTGCTCTGAGTCAAGCTTTAAATCATGTTGGTAAAAAAGAGAACCAAACTTTCAAACTCGCCATTCAAAAGTATGTTCAACCAGAAAAAAAATGTCTTGAGTTGCCGACATGGGTGAGTAAAAAAGTTGAGCGTGGAGAAATCACCACTTTCGTCATAAGTGTTTTAGATCAGAAGACTATTCTGCTGCCTGCTCTTGTGGAGGACTTTTCACAGCGCAGTAGTTACACAGCTGCTTACCCCATCAGACAGTACTTCTATGGACTGTTAACTGGAGGTCAGATGTGCACTGAATATGACAGGGACAGAGAAGAGATCAAAGACAAGCGTGTCCCATCAATACTCCTCAGCAGTGATGAACAGAAACAACTGGAACTAGAGCGTCTACATAAGGTACTGAGGTTAATCATGAAATATGTGTTTAATTACTCTGACAGGTCATAGATGTGTTTCCGTGGTACACGTGAGCATCTTGTCTGTGTGGTACCTCTCTGTGCAGGCTCCTGAGGGTTTGCGTCGCAGAGTGTTTGAAGAAGCTCTGCAGGTTCAGACTTTAGACTTAGGAAACATCCCCGACCAGCTGAAGCTGCCAGTCTGTGTGACTGTTTTCTGGTTCAAGAGGCTACAACACCACCCAAAACCTGAAACTGTCCACTGCCTCCACGCCCTCCTGTTGGGGTTTGTGTTTGACCAACATGGTCCAGGTAAGTCTTACTTGATACAATGATGGATATTTACAATGAAATGCATAGTTACATGTAGGGCTGCTCGATTATGGCAAAAATGATAATCACGATTATTTTCACTGAAATTGAGATCTCGATTATTTGACGATATTTATTTAACAATAAGAATGTATTGAATAGTGACTTTGAAGATTGTCAAAAAATAATATAAAATAGTGTGCAAATACTGATAACAGTGCAAATGTTTGCAATATAAAAAATAAATGAAAAATGTAAACATCTATGTTTCGTGAACTTTGCAGTGTTGCTCTGTGGTGCAGCTACGACACTGTAGCAAAGTTTACACACTATGTCTACTTGATCCACGTCTGACTCCGCGAACCCATAATGTTTCCACACCACTGAAGTTTTTTTTACCTCTCTTTTCAACCAGCAGCAGTCACTCTCCTCTCCAAATAATAATGGATTGGATTTATATAGCGCTTTTTCAAGGCACCCAAAGCGCTTTACAATGCCACTATTCATTCATTCTCACATTCACACACTGGTGGAGGTAAGCTACGGTTGTAGCCACAGCTGCCCTGGGGCAGACTGACAGAAGCGAGGCTGCCATATCGCACCATCGGCCCTCTGGCCAACACCAGTAGGCAGTAGGGTAAAGTGTCTTGCCCAAGGACACAACGACCAGGACAGAGAGCCCGGGGATCGAACCGGCGACCTTCCAGTTACAAATGCACTTCCCAACCCCCTGAGCCACGGTCGTCCCAAATAACTTCTGCTTAGCTTTCCGAGCTTCCCTCGGGTCCTCTTAATCAACGGTCCCCAACCCCCGGGCCTCGGACCGGTCCATGAGTCGTTTGGTACCGGGCCACGAGAGTTGACGCTCAGGTGTGAAATGTGTGATTTTCAGGGTTTTTATCGGTTTTTGGCATTATTTTGTTATTGTTTTTATCGTTTACTCGGTTTTCCTTGGTCTTTTCACGTGTGTTATGAATAAATTTACCGGTACCAGTACTAGTTTTATTTTGTTGTATTTATCCGCGACACCTTAAAGGCCGGTCCATGAAAATATTGTCGGGCATAAACCGGTCCGTGGCGCAAAAAAGGTTGGAGACCGCTGCTCTAAATGACTGAACAGCAGGTCATCTAACAGCTGCTCCTCAGCTTCCTGTTTGTGTGACATCATCATGCTCTCGTTGTTTCAAACAGGAACCGTGTGGCTGATGGCGTCATCAATCTCACACAATGCTGGTAAGGTGTTGGAGAGATTATGCACCACTTTATGTGATCTCATGGCAGTGAAGCCATAAACCAACATCAAAAAGCCGCAACAACACCTCACTCTCATTGGTTGCTCTGTGAGTGATGTCATGAACAGAGAAAGAGGTTCTGATCTAGACCACTAGTTGGTAAACCTCATCATGTGATAAAAGGAAAGCTAATGAGCTGCTGCTAACTGACTGCTGTCATAAAAGAGGCATCGCTATTCAATAAACAATAATCAGTGATTAATTAATTGTTGTGACACGTGTTCGAAATGCAGAGAGGTGCGCTCGATTTGCCACAGGGAGCAGCGCGAGAGTAAAGCACGAGGGAGGGGCTAATAATCGACTCAGTCATTTTTAATGATCGTTGAAAGCCCAGATTGTAATCGAGATTAAAATTCGATTAATTGAGCAGCCCTAGCTACATGTCACTTTATTAGGAACACCTGTGACAGCTCTGCCATTCTGATGAAATTTCTACAGTTTCAGCTCCATAAATCTGATTATTCTGTTTATTATTCACAGTCAGCTGTCAGCAGGTTAGTCTCTCTGAAAGCAGTCAGCAGATGGACTGTAGTCAGACATCCTGTAGTCAGAGTTTGTGTGACAGCAGCAGCACTGATGCTTCCACATCAGCCTGAACAAGAAGACAAACTGCTGCTGGTCTCTGGTTCTGTGTCACTGAAACTTTGTCTTATTTTGTCTGTAGAGGACGAGTTTGAGAGGAAGATGAAAGCTTTAAAGGATGCAGCTATCAGGAGGAAATGGCAGCCCCGTGTGGCTCATGCTTTCAGCCAATGGCTGTGCTGCATGAGGCAGAGCCTCCACCTGAACCAGCTGCTGTGTTCCCCTCTACCAGAACCTCAGTGTGCCCGGTAAACACCAGACCAATGATGCGCTCCACAGACGTTTAACACACTTCATCAACTTTAACTGAGATTTTGCTTTATCAGGCTTTACTGTGGACCTCTCCTTCATCGGCTGGCAGATGAAGACACGATTGAAGAAGTACAGAAAACACTGAGAGGAGAAAAGAAGGAATTGTATGAGAACCTAAAGACTGTTTGTCATTAACTTTTTGGAAAGGGATCCTGTGTCCTTTTCCCCTTTTACTTTATTTTTACTGCATCCTCTGTATGCTCTTTTTTTAAAAGATCTTCAGATGTGACATGAAGCCATACTGAAAACAGATGATAATTATACAGGTCAAATAGTTTATATTTAAATTTAATTTTTTGTTCTTTATTTTTTCTGCACGATTGAATGAAGTGTTTGAAGTAGAGGATTTAGCGGTACAACTAAGGGTCAAAGGTCATTTTATTTCTATATGTTGGTAAATCTGTTTTTTTTCTCGGTATAAGCTAAACTCAAGAAAACGTAAAACAGTTCAAGACAGTAAAAAGTAGCTCTTTTCAACAATTTGTCTCTAATAATGACTGAACACAAAAGCCAAGAACAGAATAGTATCACAACACTGTCATCATAAAAACAAGAAAGATGAACACGAATCAAAAACCCAAAGCCCTCAAAACAGGACGAGTGTGTGATTAAATCTGTGAGAATTTCATTTTCCCCACCAGCACTGATCTGATCTGATTTTATATTCATGTTTGTTCATAAATAATATTCATGAGCCTGAACTTTTTGTCGCTCAGTGATGCAGCTCTGAGTCAGACACAGCAGTTACAAACAAAAATGATCAGAGTTCATTCATATTCATGAATTTGAGCACTGATGATCCATGAGTTATATTTTAACTCTTCATTTATAAAAGTAATTCTTTAACATTTGCCTTAAACTTGTCCTCTCTGTTTCTCCTGCTGCAGCTGGTGATCTTTAAATGTTGGGACTGTTGATTCGTTCTATCCCTGCAAATTACTATATGACTTATTTCTAAGTGATTCTTGTTCCTACGCTGCACGGCTACACCTGATCTTAGGGTTCCTCCACCTACCAAATCCCACTTTAACCCCTGCTGATAAACGATCTTAGGCTATTGTGTCCAAGCAACATCAAGAATTTAAGAACCTGTGTGCAGAAACAGAGTAACGAAAAATATGTGATGTGTTAAGTATATACAGTGGGGCAAAAAAGTATTTAGTCAGCCACCGATTGTGCAAGTTCCCCCACTTAAAATGATGACAGAGGTCAGTAATTTGCACCAGAGGTACACTTCAACTGTGAGAGACAGAATGTGAAAAAAAAATCCATGAATCCACATGGTAGGATTTGTAAAGAATTTATTCGTAAATCAGGGTGGAAAATAAGTATTTGGTCAATAACAAAAATACAACTCAATACTTTGTAACATAACCTTTGTTGGCAATAACAGAGGTCAAACGTTTACTATAGGTCTTTACCAGGTTTGCACACACAGTAGCTGGTATTTTGGCCCATTCCTCCATGCAGATCTTCTCGAGAGCAGTGATGTTTTGGGGCTGTCGCCGAGCAACACGGACGTTCAACTCCCGCCACAGATTTTCTATGGGTTGAGGTCTGGAGACTGGCTAGGCCACTCTAGGACTTTCAAATGCCTCTTACGGAGCCACTCCTTTGTTGCCCGGGCCGTGTGTTTTGGATCATTGTCATGTTGGAAGACCCAGCCTCGTTTCATCTTCAAAGTTCTCACTGATGGAAGGAGGTTTTGGCTCAAAATCTCATGATACATGGCCCCATTCATTCTGTCCTTAACACGGATCAGTCGTCCTGTCCCCTTGGCAGAAAAACAGCCCCATAGCATGATGTTTCCACCCCCATGCTTCACAGTAGGTATGGTGTTCTTGAGATGCAACTCAGTATTCTTCTTCCTGCAAACACGACGAGTTGAGTTTATACCAAAACGTTCTACTTTGGTTTCATCTGACCACATGACATTCTCCCAATCCTCTGCTGTATCATCCATGTGCTCTCTGGCAAACTTCAGATGGGCCTGGACATGCACTGGCTTCAGCAGCGGAACACGTCTGGCACTGTGGGATTTGATTCCCTGCCGTTGTAGTGTGTTACTGATGGTGACCTTTGTTACTTTGGTCCCAGCTCTCTGCAGGTCATTCACCAGGTCCCCCCGTGTGGTTCTGGGATCTTTGCTCACCGTTCTCATGATCATTGTGACCCCACGGGATGAGATCTTGCGTGGAGCCCCAGATCGAGGGAGATTATCAGTGGTCTTGTATGTCTTCCATTTTCTGATGATTGCTCCCACAGTTGATTTTTTCACACCAAGCTGCTTGCCTATTGTAGATTCACTCTTCCCAGTCTGGTGCAGGTCTACAATACTTTTCCTGGTGTCCTTCGAAAGCTCTTTGGTCTTGGCCATGGCGGAGTTTGGAGTCTGACTGTTTGAGGCTGTGGACAGGTGTCTTTTATACAGATGATGAGTTCAAACAGGTGCCATTCATACAGGTAACGAGTGGGGGACAGAAAAGCTTCTTACAGAAGACGTTACAGGTCTGTGAGAGCCAGAGATTTTCCTTGTTTGAGGTGACCAAATACTTATTTTCCACCCTGATTTACGAATAAATTCTTTACAAATCCTACCATGTGAATTCATGGATTTTTTTTTCACATTCTGTCTCTCACAGTTGAAGTGTACCTCTGGTGCAAATTACTGACCTCTGTCATCATTTTAAGTGGGGGAACTTGCACAATCGGTGGCTGACTAAATACTTTTTTGCCCCACTGTATGGTGCATATGTGTTATTTACAAAATCAGACACTGGGTATTAGTGAAATCTCGTGGACACTTAAAGACACTATACAGAATAGTTTAACAGTGTTAAACAAGTAATTATTAAAGTAATTAATGAAGCCAAATTAAAGAAAAAAATTTAAACTGTAACCAGACCTGTGAAGGCACAAGGGATGAACCATAGTTCTGTGATGCAAGTAAACATACTTGTACCGACTGACTATAATCTCTTTTTTTATTACTGATGTATTCATGCGTCCACAGCATCACTCAGCCGCAATGAAAGAAGGCTATGAGGCTGCATGTGTGTTTGCATTATGGATGAATAATTAATGTGGTTTTATTGTTTTGTATGATTATATTCAGAATAAAGAACTAACCCTTTACTTAAACATGCAAAGCAGTTTATCACTGCACACCTCATTCAGCCAGGCTCTGCTCTCTCGTCTTCAGCTTGTTCAGAATGCTGCAGCCCGACTCTTGACAGGCACACGTAAACGTGACCATAATTTCCCAGTCTTGGCTCGTTCACACTGGCTTCCAGTACGTTCTAGAACTGATTTTAAGATTTTATTGCTTGTTTTTAAGTCTCTAAATGGATGAGCTCCTCGTACCTCTCTGATCTTTTAACTAAAAATACTCCAAACAGAACTCTTAAATGAGCTGATCAGTTGCTTCTGATTGTTCCTAGTAGCAGACTAAAACATAGAGGAGACTAGGCCTCTGTGATTGCTGCACCTAAACTTTGGAACGGTGTGCCTCTTCGAATTAGGATCTCTCCAACACTCAACATTTCTAAATCCTGTCTGAAAACACATCTTTACTGACTAGCTTTTAATTGTTTTGTTTTTTCTGTGTTTGTTTTACTTTTTTACTTTGTACAGCACTTTGGTCAACCTGTTGCTATTAAATTCTTACAAAGAAACTGATTGGTTTATTAATCCATTCATACAGTTCTATATTTCAGAGTGTTTTGACCTAAAATTCACACACTCATCCTCCAGTAGGTGCACTGGGGGGAACTCGGGTTTCAGTATTTCACCCAAGGACACTAAAACACACAGAGTAGAGCAACCGGGGAACAAACCACGACTTCCTGTACAGCAAATGTAGATTTGCACATATGAACAGGATGTTTTTAGTCTGCAATAGCTGATTTTTCTTTCCTCAGAGAAACAGACATGAATCAGTGAGGAGGGTGGAGGATTAGGTGAGACTCTGGGTCATGTGATTTAACAGAAAATCTGAAACAGGTGCAAGCAGTTTTGTCTTTTCAGACCTGAACACTCAAAGGCTTCCACAGATCAGGGTGAACAGGTTGAAGCTGTTCTTTGGAGCACACGGTCACCTGGATACCTGACCTCACTGCTTAAACAATAGCAAAGTTGTAGGTTAATGTGTTTATGGCATCAGAGGTTTAAGTAACCTTCCTGGTTTTTCCAGGAAGGTTGTTTCAGACTCTGTTGTTAGAGAGCAGCACAACACAACAATTAATCTATTAGTTTTTGTTTCTGGACTTGAAATTCCCTCCTTATTTTCAGTATGTTTTAAACACACCTCTCACTTTTTCACATTTTGCCATGTGTTGAGCTAGAAAATGTATAAATCTCAAATACAACATATGGCTGCAAGCTTCATCCAGAAAAACTCCCTTTTAACAGGAAGAAACTTCCAGCATGAGGCAGCAAAGAGATGCTGAGGAGAGGAGAGCAGGGAGAGGATGGACAGACTGTTTTCACTTCTTGAAAGATTAGTTACAAAATGAGAAATGTGTTTATTTGAATATATTTGTTACGTTGTTAGTAAACTCGGAAAATTCTAACAGATAGCTGGTCCTTATAATACAGTTGAATAACTATTAAAAAACAGATAATGTAATATTTCTGTACAGGTTGCAGTCATTATGATGAACATGCTGTTGAAAGCTCTGCTCCTCTCAGTGATAATACACCTTCTCTTTTCTCTTTGTATAAAAAGACATTAAAAGTCAGTTTAATCTCCTAATTCACTGTTTAAAAATCCAAATCACACCAGATAATAAAGAAAAATGAATGGTCCAGTCTTGGTTCATGTACCAGTGAGACATTAAACTTCAGTAAAACTGCAGTTACGTAACTTTAATCTGAGCCAACCCGATTTGCTCAGTTGTAAATAAAACAGCGAACTAAATGTGACCTGACAGACAGAACCTGAATGAATTAAGTCCAGTGTTTAACCACTGAGAGCTAAAACTCAGGTGAGGTTTCAAAGCTGTGTGCCAGTGATTAGCTAAAAACAATAAAATGAGACAGATACGAGAGAGCAGTATACGGCGTGCCAAACACACAGGCGCAATCATGTTTAGCAAGCAAACTCTCAAGGAAATGGTTGTTAACTTCAGGAAGAGCTCAACGACTCACACCCCACTGCACATCAACGGATCTGCTGTTGAGATGGCCAACAGCGTGAAGTTCCTAGGTGTGCACATATCAGATGACCTCTCCTGGAACCTGAACA